TGATCAGGCTGGCAGGCAGAAGCGGTTAGGGGCAATCAGGCAGGCAGGCAGGCAAGCAGTTGGGAGCCAGCAGTCCCGGATTGTGAGAGGGATGTCCGACTGCCATAGGGATCGGGCCTAAACCGGCAGTCGGACATCCCCAGAGGGGTCCCAGATTGGAGAGGGTGCAGGCTGGGCTGAGGGACAACCCCCCAGTGAACGAATTTCATGCACCGGGCCTCTAGCCCTATATAATAAAAGCATAATATGCTAAGTGTCCAGTCTTCCAGTCATCCGTTCAACTAATCAAAGCATAATATGCTAATGATATGCTAAGGCTCCTCAACCACTCGCTATGACGTGCACTGACCATCAGGGGGCAGAAACTCCAACTGGTAGGTTAGCTTGCTGCTGGGGTCCAGCCCATAGGGACTGAATGAGACAAGCTGGACACACCCTGGAGCCCTCCTGTGGTCCCTCCCCGATTGGCCAACCTCCCGCAGTCCCTCCCCAGCCCCGATCCCTTGGCCTGGCCTGTACCCTCTCACAATCCAGGACCCCTCAGGGGATGTTGGAGAGCTGGTTTCGGCCCAATCCCACAGGCCAGGCTGAGGGATCCCACTGGTGCATGAATTCGTGCACCGGGCCTCTAGTGATGTAATAGCAGTGAACACCATGAACATACGTGCTGACATGTGTGAACTCACTTACGTCTCACAATTAAGCTGTTTTTACTGCTGAGAGAGCTGAGGCAGAGAGGCAGAGCAACTTGACCAAAAGTACACAGCAAATAAGAAGCCAGACCCTCAGAGTTTGAAGCCTTGAAGTCTGGTTCTGAAATGTTCGTCGTCTCTCTTGACTGAATATACTCTGTACTGCCTGTCACTGTCTGGCTTGCTCACCTGTCTGTCTCTTCTTCCTAGTGCAGGGTTTGTCTGTAACCCCAGTGACACCCCATCCCCCTCCTCGCCCCACCGCACCACTGGTTCAACACCTGGGGCAGCATCAGCCAGGCTGGTCAAGTAGAAATGGAAACGTTTAATTTCTGGTAGAAACGATAAATACTTTGCACTAAAAATCTGGAATTCAAGTTTTCCTCATGCTTCATGCTCCCCCCGTCCCAGAACCCCGCAGACACGATTCTGCTCAGAGAGGAGGTGCCCGCCTGCCCTGTGGCCAGGGCAGTCTGGGGAAAGGCACAGGTGGCTGATGTGGGGAGGGGGTCACAGGAAAAGGCACTTTTTAGGGTCTAAACCTGCAGAGTTCCACAGGAGAATCATAGGCCATGGCACTTTGGCGTCTTGAAATCGGGCGGCTGAAGGAGGGGTGCAGTGTGCCGAGCCCCTTCTCGGTCAGACACCGGGTGGGAGTGGGGCTGCCTTCATGATTACCCCGCACACCACACCCCTCTTCACAGTCATGAGTGACGGACCACAGGCTCTGGGATGAGGGGAGGGGAGGGGGGAGTAAGGCCTCCTGGGGATTGGGGGAGGCCTGGTGAGTCCCCCCCTCACTCCCCAGCTAGGAGTCCTCCTCCCAGGGGCACAGCTGCGCTGAGCACGAGGA